TTTCTCTCTCTCTTTCTCTCTCGCTCTCTCTCTCTCTCTCGGACTAGAGGAATCATGTTTCGGAAATGATCGGCGCGTTTCGCGTGGCTGTGTATCGAATTCGACCGGTGTTATTTACAGAAATGAGAATCCCGGGTCTCCTCCGGAGATCACAGAGGGGGCTGGACGCGATCGACGCGTGTTACGGTACCTGTGTGATTCGTCGACGATGAACGATATAGATCATGCGATCCCACCGAAGAAATACACGCGTTCGAACGTGGGTAGTGTCTGTCGTTAACTACCGATCGGCTGATCCAAAATGTCTGTTGTGCGTCGAATTGGCAGAATTAGAATCGATTTTATCCATAGCGGACGTCGTTTACCATCGGTCTAGTAAACAACGAAAGGGTACGGTTTACTTAGAATGCTAGGCTAGATAATAATGTACTTACGCACAAACGTGCCTGATATACACGGGGTATAAGTCTGCTTCACTCTCGCGAATACGTAGTAAAAAAACCTTTGTTGTGCGCGGCCAACGACGCAATCGTTTCGGCAGTCACGAGCTATGCGATACAATACTCCTCTCCTCGCTGCTTCTTTCCCTCCTCCTTCTTCTTCTTCCTCTTCTTCTTCTTCTTCTTTCTCTTCTTCTTCTTCCCCTTCTCCTTCTTCTTCTCCCTTTGTCGTTTTCCTCTCGAGTCTGGCCCGCGTCGCGTCTTTATCTTCTGCTCAGCTCCGTTCTCACAGCTGAAAATGTTCAAAGATACGCGGACGCGTGAGCAAACCGTGATAAGGCTGTCCCGTTTAATTGCCACTCATCCTTACCGTCCACGATTTCTTGTTTCATCTTCTGGAACTCTTTGCGCACTTCCTTGATGATCTCCGCCTTGAAGGCTTCCATTTCTTGAGCGGTGAGCACGGCTCCGTCATTCACGCCGTTCACTTTTAGCAGAGTGTCCTCCGAGGCGGAGCCGAATCTCTTGCGGACCGACTTCGGTGACTCGGCGCCGTTCGAAAACTTATTGTTCGAGTTGTTCTTGTCCCAAGACTTTTTGTCCGGCGAACTTTCGGGTTCCTGTTGGGACGAGAAACGCGTCAGCCCGTGGGAAAAGGGGAGACACCGGAAAGGAATTTAACACTTTGCACTCAACAATATTTTTCGTTATGAATATTTGTTATATATAATACTGTTAGCAAGGAACATAAAGGGAAATCTTGCATAAATTAAGGGATGTAACTAATTCATGTGTTGATACCTAATTCAAAATTGAATATTGAATTTCAGTGCTCATAATTTCGGTGTATCGAATCAAATGGCGAATGAGAGTCGCCTCTCGAGTGCAAAGGGTTAACCCTCTGTAGACCCATGTAACTTTGAAGTCGCATGTCAATATATTGACATCTTGTTTATTTCATTTTGCAAAATGGTGAATAAAATGAAGTAATCAGTTAACTTAAACTGTTATACGCTCAGACGTGAAAGTTTAACGTCATTGTAACTTGCAAGTTATAACATATACTCGTTTGATGAGATTATTGTTGAGTCGTATTCATATGTGGATATTTATTAATTTTGTACTGCACAGATTGTGTTATAATCATGAACAAAAATTCGGCCCATAGAAGGTTAACCCCTTACAAAAATTTCAAACAGAACTTAACATAAATATTACTTAATTTGTTGGAAGGAAAATTGCATATTATTCCTGTTATCAATGATTATAACTTAGAGCACACGTTGACATAGAATAAAACTGGAATCTTCTCTTAGTTTCAATAAATCATTAATAACAAAGTAGATCGATCACAGTTCGGAAATAAATCATAGGGCAAGGGGTTAAATATGGCCGCTATGGCGAATACACACCTGTGGCTGTTCCGGTTGCTTCTTCTCGACAGCGGCTCGTCTTCGCGCCAACGTTTTCGCCATCTCGTCCATCATGGAAGCCATACCGCCACCCCCGCCCCTTCCTAGCGTGCCGTAATTCCCACCGCTCCCGGTGCTGCCGCTGCCGCTACTGTTGCTACTGGAACCACTGTTCTCCACCGACTGTTGCGCCGTCTGCAACCAAATGGCAATGATCAAACGATCAAAGAATAGTCTAATCGATGAATCAATTGCAAGATTAAACTAGAAAATCAATCAGGTGAACCGAGTCGAATTGAGAGCGACACGAACCTGCTTCTTCTTCAGACGAGCCGCCTGAAGAGCAGCCGCCAACGAGTTAGCGTCCGGAGGTGGGTCCGCGTTGTTCGAATTCATTGACGCGGTAGCAGAAGGTCCGCCCAAGGGAGGATTAAGGCTGATCGCGTTCGCGTTTGGTACGGGCGGTGGTGGAGGTGGTGGAGGTGCGGCGGGACCGGTTAAGGGTACCATAGGCGGGGGTTGAGGGCCACCGGTGTTAACGGGACCGTAAACGTTCGAATTGACAGTCGGCCCGTGAATCCCACTGCCACCGGTAGGTCCGCCACCACCACCACCACTGTTACCGCTGTTGTACTGATTCACCGCATTCGCAGGCGTCCCGTACGGGTTTGTGGCATTCGACGCCGCTTGCACTTGACCGGTCCCGTACGGTGGCTGTGCCTGAGACACGACACTGTACTGAGACTGGTTCGGTTGACCAACGTTCACGCCAGCTCCAACGCCCACACCGACCACGTATTGCCCGGTCGTTGCCGCTCCGCTGCTAGCGTACTGACCGATTGAATTCCCACTCGCGTACTGGTTCCCGGCAGCTCCACCGCCTCCGGGGCCGGTGCCACTGCCACCGCCGTACTGGTTCGCTTGGCCAGGCTGTCCGCTCGAATACGCGTTCGCCATTTGACCGTTGTTACCGTAGAAATTATTCTGATTCCCGGTGGAGTACTGGCAAGGACTCTGCCCGACTACGGTGGCCGTCGCGTATTGGTTATTGTTCGCCGGGGCGCCGTACTGGCTTCCCTGTCCGCTGCCGTAAATCGACTGAGCTTGAGACTGATTCGGCAGATTAGTCTGAGACGATGGCGATTGCGCGTATTGGTTCATCATCATAGGCGGCGGTGGTACCGGTGCGTTAAAGTTCATCATCGTCGGAGGACACGGTGGAACCGAGGTCGGCATAGGAGGTTGCGGCGGTGGAATCGGGGGAGCGCCACCGCTCGACATTTGCCCCGCTCCTGTCCCTAGACCACCGACAGGTTGAATCGACTGCATCACAGACTGTTGAGGCTGGGGCGCAGGTGGCGCCGAGGATGTTCTGTGATGACCGGACTGCTGTTGCGGCTGTTGCTGCAAAGGTTGCTGTTGCGGTTGTTGTTGATGTTGTTGCTGCGGCGGCGGCT